CCCCCCCCCCCCCCCCACGTTGAGCTTGGTACTTTTCAGAGAAGAGATCTAGAGCTAGAGGGCATGGGGCTGGAGCTGGCGAAGGTGTTACACCCGCCCAGCCGGTTTCTTTTTATCGTGCAGCGCGGGGCATCTGGACGCTCAGCCGGAATGGCCCAGCGGTCCCACCCAGTCCGGCGGCGGGGTGCGCAGCTGCAGGGCCGGACACCGGAACCGGTAGGGAAGGGAGCGCCAAGCCTAAAGACGCCGCTCAGCCCGCGCGCGAGCGCCGGAAGTGCGGAGTGCGCAGCGGGCGTTACTTACTGTCTTCCGGCAGGTTGTTTTCCCGCTCTTCTCGCTCCATCTGCTGGCACCACCCTTCCATGCGGTCCCGCTCTGCTTGGAGGAGCTTCAGAAACCAGTGGCCGTCCCGGTGGCACACCGACCTTTGGACGGCCTCCAGGGGGTCTTCGGTGATCGAGTCAATCCAGGGATCCGGGGGAGGCAGAATCGAAGGGTCAAAATCCGCATCGAAGTCGTCGTCGGCTGCGCAGGCGTGGTAGTGGTTTCCTGAGCCCTGGATGCTGACGGTGGAGGTGCTCGCGTCCCGGGAGAACTGTCTGGCCATTGGGCCGGGGCACGAATTGTCCTCTATAGACTCCAGAGAGTTTTCCAGATTATCGTGGAAGTCCAGGTCGGCCTGTACGGCTGTCGTCACGCTGTTGGATCGAGTGAACCTGCGGAAGCTTGGAGGAATAGAGAAAGGAAGATTGAGTTCAAGGCTATTTCTCGAAGCGAGAGCATTTCTACTTTTCTTCATGGGTATGGCAGCAGGGGGTCCTACCCTCTCAGTCTGGCGGGGGGCGGTGGGGGGGGGTAGGCCCTTGACACAAGCATATCGGTTGCGATAGCTCTTATATACGTATCATGGCTCTCTCATTTTTGTTCAATACAATATTAAAGCATCTCTAGAGAAATGTTAGAAGCAATGTGTGTAGCTGTGAAAGCCAGCAAAATGTCCAGAGTCCAACTTCCTCCACAAAGCTGGGATGGCTGGAATTCTGATATTCAGGTTGCTGAGGGGTAAGGAAAGAATTCTGCATAATTTGCTTAAAAATCCAGGAAACAAAAGCAACCCAACCTGGTCCAAGCCTATTGTGAATCCTGCATAACCACATTTTTTTCTAGGGACAGCGTTTACGAAGTAAGACTTTCTGAAAGCAAACCAAAATGTCATTAGGTTCCTCTTAAAATTAAAACTCCTTCCCCTGGTGAGGACTCATTCACCTGTCTCTTGATCGAAAGGTCATTATTACCATTTGACACAAAGCCTTTGGGGCAAAATCAGCTCACAGTTCTAGAGTTCTCTGGTACCTTTCTCCTCTGCACCTTTAATTTCCCTTCCCACAGTCCTTGTACCAAGAGGATACAAGACAACCTATTCGCAGATTCAGTCTGAGCATTTTATAAGGATATTCATGTAATCGGTGTTTTTCAACCAGATGGCTCTGACATCTCTGGTTGACCCTGACAATGAAGGTGAGGGCATATGGAAGGTGGGAGGGGTGGAGAAGAACAGAGGACCAGTGAATTCTTTCTCAGACAAGGGGCAAGGGGAGGTGTGGGCCTGAAGTAATTTAAAACACTTACAAAAAATTTCATTAGCTCGTAGAGCAGGCAGGCAACAATGGCAGAGAATATAAGTCTGCTGAAGGCAGCATCATGTGCCTGTTGCCTACTCTGTACTTTTTTTTTTAATTGTTTATTTTTGAGAGAGAGAGAGCAGGGGAGGGGCAGAGAGAGGGAGACAGAGGATCCAAGAGGGTTCAGCCACTGACAGCAAAGAGCCTAATGTGAGCTCGAACTCAGAAACTGTGAGATCATGACCTGAGCAGAAGTCAGATGCTTAACCAATTGAGCCACTCAGGTGCCCCCGTACTCTTTTATTAAGGTGACCTCTTGATCTAATATTTTTATTTACTTTTTATTGTGAAAAAATATACATAACATAAAATTTACTACTTAAACCATTTTTAAGTGTGTGGTTCAGTGGCATTAAGTACATTCACATTGTTGTACAACCATTACCATCATGCGTCTCCAGAATGTTTTCAGCTTTCTCAGTTGAAACTGTACCCATTAAACAGCTCCCCTCGGCTCCTTCCTCCCAGCCTATGTCAACCACCATTCTACTTTCTGTCTCTATGGAATTTGACTTCTCTAGCTCTCTCGTATAAGTGGAACCATACTGTATTTGTCCTTTTAGGACTGGATTATTTCACCTAGCATGATGCCTTTTTTTACAGTTTAGTTTTGATAGAGAGAGAGAGGGGGAAGGGAGGGAGAGAGGGGGAGAGAGAGAATTCCAGGCAGCTGTCAGCATAGAGCCTGAGGGGGGGCTCGAAATCACAAACTGTGAGATCATGACCTGAGTCTAAACCAACATTTGGACGTTAAACTGACTGAGCCACAGGCGCCCCTCATGTAGCAAAATGTCTTTAAGCTTCTTCCATGCTATAACATATGTCAGAATTTCCTTCCTTTTTAAGGCTGAATGATACTCCGTTTTCTGTATATACCACATTTTGTTTATCCATTCATTTGTAGATGGACACTTGGGTTTGCTTCCACCTTTTGGCTATTTTGAATAATGCTTCTTTGGACATGAGTGTACAAATATCTCTTTGAGACTGAGTTTTCCATTGTTTTGCGTATAAACCCAGAAGAGAAATTACTGTATCATACAGTAATTCTATTTTTAATGTTTTGAGGATCTACCATACTGTTTTGCATCACAACAAATCCATTGTTTTCCCCTAGAAAATAAAGCTTTAGAAAAAAAGGTGGCTGCACTATTGATCTGTGTTAGTTGTTAGGATGATCAGCATAATCAAATATGGTGTGATTCTGGCCACTCATTTTATGAAGGTAGACCAGTCAAAAAAAAGCTGGCCCATCTCATTGTTTGCTGTTTTCAAGAAATTACTTCTGTTGAAGGTATTTTAGCTGGCCATTTTATAAGATCCTTAACTCTCAAATGGGCCAAAAAAAGAATCACATAGTGTGAAAGTCTGAAAGCCATGGTACAGATGTCTTGTACTGGAGCGAAAGGAAGAACAGTTTTGCTCACGTGATTCTTCCAATAGCCATTTACGTCTTGGCTGCAGTTGGCCTTTTCTGCATTCTTCTTATTCATCCCCCTGAATGTTAAATGTCATCTCCTGAAGCTCAGCTTTCTTTGCAGACGCAGGTGTGTGAATTGGATGCCTCTCCTTGCAACAGTTGACATTGCAAGTTGCAAGTCAACTTGCAGTCTGGCTGTTCTACTAACACCAAATCTCAACTATGAGAACACTGGGCTTCACTCTCCAAGATCATGTATTGCCAGAGGCACTGCATTTTCCAGACTTAAAGAAGTGCCTTATTTTTTTCTCAATCGCAGCAAACTTGCCAGAGACAGAGTCTGTTCCACACACAAAACAGAGTGACCTCTCCTGTGCCTCTGTTTTTACCTACACAAAACCATACCACCAGCATTCCTGATAGAGGGCTCCTGGCTCTGAATCCCGTAAAGTATCCACCTTCTTAAGAAAAATTACTTGGCAGTAGATGAGTAGAAGTTTGCAGTTTAGTCACCCAGAAAGAAATAAAAGTTAAGGAAAATTAAAAAGGTTTGGGATTAAAAGCGGTGCCTTTGAACTCAGGCAGCCCTGTCCCGGCTGCCCTGTTTCTCTCAATTAAGTTCCTTAAGCAAGTGCTTTCTTCCACCCAGAGCTTTCAAAGAATGTTCTGCTCTGCAAAACGTTTCATGTCTTTCAAGTGCAAAGTTCCTTCTGAGTGAAGAGCACAATGAAGTTGTTATGGCTGTTTTCGAATTTTGATAGGAACACAAAAGGAGTCGTTGGGTGAATTTCTGTATTTTTAAAAACACAGTGGCTCACTGGTTTGAGCGTCCAACGCTCTTTCCACTCAGGTCAGGATCTTGCGGTTTGTGGGTCTGAGCCCGAGTTGGGCTCTGCACTGACAGCGTGGAACCTGCTTGGGATTCTCCCTTTTCTCTCTCTGCCCCTCCCCTGCTTGCTCTCTGTCTATCCCTTTCAAAAATAAATAAATAAACATTAAAAAAAAAAAAAAAAAAAGAAGAAGAGATCGGTTGCTGAGAGGTGGTATAAACCCATAAGCTGACCCCAGGGGCTTGCCATTTCCAAACCTACAATGCCAGTAAAGCTTCTTAGTACTTCATGCCCTGAAGGCACAATGTGTAATCATGACAACTTCTGTAAAGGACCGGCCAATATTCTGACCTAAGGAGCAGGAAACCATGAAACCAAAGACTGGATCAACCAGTATGGGACACAATACCCTGTCTGTTTGGGACAGCAAGGGGAAAGTCACTTGGTCACATTCACTCTGCTGTTACTTTGTGCATTTTCTCTGAAGCACATTTATACGTGTAATAGGAGGATTTTCTGCTGCCCATCCCCTCACGGTGACTTTTCTGCACATAGAAATCAACACAAAGATGGTACATGATGGGACTGCATTTAAATAAAGTTAAGTCACGAGCAAAACAAACAAACAAACAAACCAAAACAAAACCTAAGCACAGTCAGTGTCTTTAGGACTTGCAAGGTGTTCAACTGTGTGAGACCCAAGCCATAAACTTATCTGGAGGAGATGAACTCAGTCATTCTGTTACCGAATCCTCTAGCCTCTGGTTATCTTCTTCATCCCTCTCATTCACATAATGGTTGCTTTCCAGGGCTAACTCTAGTTTCAAAGGGAGAAACACTAGTTCTGTGCTGTTTGTTCTTTCTTTGTGGGAGGCTTTAGACATTCTTCACTAAGCCTGCTGTCAAGGCTGAATAGATGTGGGATCTGAAAATGCTACTCTTCAAAAGTGCAACCATCTGGGTATTTTGTGAAATGGCACCCTTTAACTGATGTAAAAACCCAAGACGTCTCCTTATATAAAAGATAGATCAAAAGAAAGGTGTGGGGGTGAGAGGAGATTGAGATCAAGAATTAAAACCTGCTAAAAAAGAGATTCTCTCTCATCAGATCAGCTTCCCAGTTAGAACAGCTCATGGAGGAACCTAGGCCGAATACAACCCTGTCGCGGATTCAGTGGGAAGGGACCCTCCTGCTCCCCGTTTGAGATGGTTAGCACTGTCTTATTGACAGATTTTAAAGCTACCTCAAGGGGCACCTGGATAGGCTCAGTTGGTTAAGCATCTGACTTTGGCTCAGATCATGATCTCATGGTTCAAGAGTTCAAGCCCTGTATCAGACTCTGTGCTGACAGCTCGGAGCCTGGAGCCTGCTTTGGATTCTGTGCCTCCCTCTCACTCTGCCCCTCCCCTGCTCTGTCTCTCTCTCAAAGATAAATAAGCATTAATAAAAAAAAAAAGTATCTTTAAAAATTCATTAAAAAAATAAAACTACCTCAAAACAAGCATCCGTTCATTATTCAAAATCCATTATGTCCATTCTTTTACCTGAAGAGCTCTTTCAGCAAAGGAAAACAGAGTAAGTTTTCTACGTAAAAACTCCCTCTTTTGTAACGCATTTACCAATTAAAGGGAAGAAACGACAGTATTGACAGTGGGCTTGTGATCATCAGCTAGCTTCTGAGAGGGCCTGGCATGTTGCCAGCCCCCTTTCAGTACCAGCTGGGCAGGTGCTAGTATCCTTGATGGGCTGTCACTATAGGAACTTTGGTTAGGAGTCTCAACAAAACATCCTC